ATACTTTCGGTTATTTTACGTCTATCGTCGTTGGTGTCTCTATGCTACCTGCGTCTTTGTAGTTGGTTCAATTCTGTGCCTACCTGCCAGTATATTTCTCTTTTTTGCCTTTCTCGATCCGTGTTTTTTCGCCAAAAAAAACGAACGAACCAACCAAAACCATTCGTTTAGATTCGTGTATACACTAGGAACGGACCAACCCTAACCTATTCGTTATGGGCAGACGCAATATGGGAAACCAATACAGGGAAATGCAGGGAGCAATAGCAAAGTCTAGGAGAAAAAAGAACGGCTTATTCTCAATCTGCGACCGACCGACCAGCCGAATGAATCACACAGAAAGGTAAGAGACTCGAGGAAGAACGACACGCTAGTTATTTGTGTAGCGGCTGTACTAACAGCAGAGGATTCACCACCCCACAGGCTGGAACGGGAAAACACACAGGGGCAGTTCTACTTGAAAGATGATCTCGTCGTAGAGAAAATACGAAACGACGCTTTGGCCATGCTAATAAATACCACTTGTACAACTAATAGCAATGATCCTACATAGGAAAGGGCGGGGCAGTATGTGCCCAGCATGAACAGAAAAAACTGAGTTAGTAGTAGGCAGCAATGGCGGCTTAGGCGTGACTACATGAGTTCACGAAGCAGCTAACTAAAGAGTAGCCATGGTCCGTTTCATCGTCAATTTAAGTTAGAAAAATACGAAGTAAATATAGGCGTCGTTAGCTACGCTTCAGTATACATGGTAGGGGAACAGCACGCAAAAACTACCACATGCAAAGCACAGGTGTATCCCGTGGCTGATGATGAATTTCGGCCTTTAAACAGACTCCATAGAGAAACATGGGTTTCATGTGAAAATTAACGCCGTGGGCACATGTGCGTATTTATGCGACGCGTTACTCTACAACAATAGGAATATCAATGCGTCATCATCATCGCGATAGTCTACTCTAATGGTCGCTGGAAATCTTACCGAGACACATATTGCCGATACTGTCACGAAATTAGGACAAAAAAACCGCCATTGTGTCCTAGCTACCAAATTTGAATGGCTGCTATTCCGTAGAAGGCAGCAGATCGTGTAGTCCAATGGTGCAAAATTGCCAATGGAAAAAAAAAATATATTGGTACTATTTGCTTCCATCTGACTGGCCTTGAAATGGTTAAAAACTGTAAACTAAGTATCAGTCTATTTTTAGTTACCGCTTTTTGCTCAGTATTTTTTACGTCTATATATCGTAGAGAACAAATACAATAATATTAAACATTCTGTACGCTGCTGCGAAGATAACTGCGACCAGAATCGCTGCTGAGCATCGTTCAGTGTTAACCAAGCAAAGGACCACTGCCAACGGATGGCGAAGGCGGTCAAACAACGCCCCTAGTGACAAGAATGTCATAGATAAAATAGATGGATACACAGCAGCTCCAGCAAGACTAAGAGCAATTGTCCACTCGAAACCCCTTTCTCCGCCCCTCCTTCGCCGCCCGTTTTTTTATGTTTCGTACTGTATCTTTCTCCAACGGTCTTTGCCTGTCCATCTACCGGGCCTGCGCTCAGTGCGAACGTATTTCTCTTGCTGGTGGCTAAGTGGACAGGGGGATGGGGAGAGACTTTCTTTACGTTATCAATCCAGAACCAGGAACAGCAGCAGCAAATGTGTGCCGTTAAATTACGAATACAAACGCACCTCCGCACATAAAACGATCCCCTGTGGATCTACGATGAGAAGTAATTCGAGTCCTTCGTCAACAGTAGACACACCGGTCCTATTGTTGCCTGAGTGTCCGCCGGCCTATCTACAGTCCTCTTTGGCAAAAATACGCTCGCGTGCCTCCCGATAGATGTTTGCACTACCGGCAATGATCCTCAAGCTGATTTGACGTGGACGAATAGATCCGGCGGTTCATTTGTGGTCGACTGTGCGACTTCGCTGACACAGTGATTAGGTGCCCGACGCGCGGATCGTCCCGCAAGCCACGGTGACGACCCCACTCGTAGACGCACGAAGCGGCGCTGTTTTCGTCGATGATGATGGATTGATTATAAGGCTGTTACTGAATAGTACGGCTGTGATTCGTCTGCTAGCAGGCGTCGATCGAAAGTTTAATTTTTACGTAGAGATTGATCCTTTATTATTGTTGCTGCTGCTGCTGCTGCCGCCGCCGCCGCCGCCGTTGTTCTTGTTATTGTCAGATCAAGGACAAAGCACAAGGCAAATAGCCTCTAGCCGCGCCTACATGCCAAATAAATGCCACCCTACACAATCAAACAGGCCAATCAGCTACCAATGATCGTATATCATCGTCCGTAGACTGTCTGGCCTATGTATTGAAACCGGAGTGAATCGTCCTTTTTTCCACCGAAATCGGCATAACTACGATTCCAACGTCGGGCCGCTGTTAGTTCTAACTCAGTGATTGGTACTATGCACGTGTGCGATATATGGCTTTATGTGATAGGGTCAGTGTTCCGCAGAGTCTGACAAGTAGATGTAAGTTCAACGGTATGTACAAACGCAATAGCAAATGCGTCAATAACGCTCCTTTTTTTTGTTTTTTTTCTCAATTCCGTAACTAGTGATAAGTTTTTTTTGCAATTTGCAACAAGTTGGGCTGCAGGCAACCCCAGTACATAACGATTTCATCTTGAGTTTTTTTCGCGTGAACGGTTTACACCAGTGCGTGCAAATATAGAATCAAACCTCCTATATATATATATATTCTAATAGATTTGTACTCAGTTTAAATGGTTATAACGTTTCCTTCGACCGCAGACCTTAGGCTGCTGATAACGGAAGGCTAGTAAACCACAAAGTGAGCTGTAGCATTTGATTCACCTTGTTTTGTCAATTTTCCGACATAAACGTTATCCTTAAGGTGTTCCCACAAAAAAGTGCATTAATGTCAGGTCTGGGAAACAAACAGAGTGCTTTGTAATACTCCTTTCTTGTAGTCGTCTGTACGTCTCCTGGGATATATCCTTACACATATATATGTGTAAGGAAGAAGACACTGACACAGTGATTTCGGTTTGGCCTTTCCCGTTAATGGTTTGCCAGTCGCGTTACCCCATGTAAGCACTTTGTGGACAGATCGACGAGCACGTACTCACATGTGGTAAGGCGATTGGTAAATTGTTGTCGAGAAAGTAGTGGCAAGTGTCAAACAGAGGAGGCATCAGAAGTGCTCAGATACGCTCGCGATATTGAACGCTCATTGCTGAAAACTTATGCCCATTAACTTTTCGTACGAAGGGGGCAAACAAAACTAATGATTGAATGGATGCAAGCGAACAGAATTGAACTTGAAGTGTTTCCTTTCGAAATGTAGACGCTGAGACGTAGAGATGTATAGGCCGCGACGCATGGTTGTTTCAACTGTACTATACTATAGATTAGTATCTGAATTCGGTGACAAATGGAAAAGACCACCCAACAGACAATGCACACGGAAGATCGAACATCCTGCCATAGTAGCAAGTAGATAGACATGGATATTTTATCTATACTCGATAACAAGTAGAAAGCAACGGTGACTTCAAGCACACTAAATGGAACACAATGAAACGCCAAATTCTCAGATAACATGCTTTGCCTAGCGTTCTGTATCTGCTAGGACGATCTAAGTTACTTGGTAGCGACTTAGGATTCCTAGAAGATAGATAGCGTAGTTGGGTTGACAAAAGCTTTGCGTGCAGGATATGGCCAAATCATATTAGCTACCGTTAAATGCGTACTGTTCAAATACGTAAGACAGCGGTTACATAGGATAGCGATTCTATAGTCGTTCATCAACTAATTTTCGATGGTGCAACGACACGTTCACTGAAAGTAATCGAATAGAGAAAGTAGGGTCTGACCAATGGCAGAGTTGGTGGGTTTTTATTGTGATTTACAAAGTATTGCCCACAACATACATTCGTACATGGACCACACAAAGCGAGTAATTCTGGAAAAAAAAATGTCTACGAACATTCATTATCTATTACTTATAATTTCCAGAATACAGAAAGTTGCCTCTTGCGACGTATATTGTGAGAGCTAAGATTGTGAGAACGATCCTTTATGAGCAGCAATATGTATCCTATTTGGGTCAGCAATCCATAGTATGAAATTCGTACCATAGACATGGCTTTAAAAAAAGCGAAAAAAGTGCAGAAGCAACAAAAAAACAATTTTAGTAAACAACAAGTTGCTAGCAAGATCAGTTAAATTCTATAAACATCATTAGGCTATGCATTGCAATACAAGGAGACGTTCGTTATATGTTACGGCTGCAGGCGTTGCCCGGCAAAGGACCGGGTAAAATTCAACATTATTATTTTGTTTATTTGACGAACAATGCGACAAAAAGCGTCTGCTCGAAATGATCGAAACTTGTAATTGGACCAGCGCAGGCTGCGGCCGCGGCGTCTCAACAACGACGGAGCTTTCCAACAGCCAATTGCTTAACATAACATCCGTTCCTCGTCATGTACGATTACTGAGCGCGATACAAAAGAGGTCACGCGAATCACTGGCGATTTATACACATATGCATTACATATATATATATATATATATGAGCAAACGTAAGCCGTGCACTGAAGGTAGCCGTTCCCATAGTTTTAAGATGTGTAATTTTAAATCTATTCCCAAATGCTGGTACTTCTAAAAGAGGCAATTTCTGCAAACAAGCAGTTAACTGGTTCGCCTGGCACGAGGTCACTGCGGATATAAAACACTATAGACGTATAATATACACTAATGGAAATAAGTATGTTGGGTGTAATGTCTATGGGGTAACGGAAGGTAGCACCTTTCAGATTAATTTCGACTGGACCGTGTGCATATACATACATATGATGTCCCGGTTGAATTGTACTCAGTTTCGTCTGCAAATCAAGAGATATATTTCGGGTGTTGCGTCAGCTACTGATCGTGAGCATTGCTTGTCGCGTGGGCATCTAGCAGTATTTAGGAAGATGTAATATTCTAATGTAGACTTACATAGTGATGGTAGACCCGTCTGTGGGTTGACCATGAGCCCCACGTCGAGACTGTCGAGGTCGTTGCTGTTGAGGGGACCCTGTGAGTCGCTCAGCCATGATGGGTCCAGACTGTCCAGTGCTCCCATGCCTTCGAGGGGCGGAAGATGTGGCGAGCCGAGCTCAGCGTTTCCGCCACAGTCTAGCTCGGACGAAGCCATTATGTCGCTTTCAATCATTTCGTGCAGTTGGAGGCACGACTCCTCGTAGAGGTCCATCATAAGCATCATAGAGCAGCGTGGTGAGGGCGGATCGTTCAGAGCCGCGCAACTTCCAGTGAAATCTGTCAGCCCCAACCCCGCACCCAGGCCAAGATCTTGGCCAATTCCGTTAATGTTGGCGACGCAACTACTAAACGCTTTTCGCCTGACACTGCAAGAACTAGCGCTGCTGGCTATGCCGATGATAGCACTTGCGGCCTCTGCGGCTTCACCTTCGGCCCCGCTACCGGCTTTGGCAGCCGCTTCGTGGGCCGCGGGGGGCAGGATGACGGATTGAAGGTCACCTCGTCGCAAAGAGAAGGACAAATCAAGCTGTAGGCCGACGAAAAGAAAGGTAACCTTGACGAAATCTTCACCAGACAAACGGCGGATGAGGCGGTTAATTCTTGGATGTTCTTTGAAGAAGACTGTTTCAGGAACACACAAGTAAAGCAATAATTTGTAGATTACCTGGGTGGGTCAGATTTTGCTGTAGTTGTATTTTTGGCGATTAGATTGAGACTGGGATTGTGTTGACAACTTCGACTCGGCGCTTACGCTGATTGGGTCTGTAGCAAGGGTCACTTTAATGCCGAATAGACAGCCTTCTCTCTGCTGTTGGCTTGAACACTGTTGTAAGCAGCCGGACGTAACCCGAAGGGTGTGTTCCCTTCCGGATCTAAGGTGCGCGTATCCTGAAAAGGGTCGAGAAAAACAACAGATGATGCATACAGATTGGTGTCAGTCGGTTGTGAGTTATAAATTGTGCTACAGCAGATCCTAAAAGATCATAAACGTATGGAACATACATGTAAGAAGAGCTACGATCAGAATCTTGCATGATATCAAAGGTCTCCTTCGACGTGGCCTCTTCCCATTGAGAAGGATTCCTGTATCAGGCACGACCCTCCAGACCGACATGGTGGTACACAGGTTTCAGAGCCCTTGCGCAATCATCATAATATATAATATAATAGATAGATTTCGTTTAGTTAAGTGAAACGTTGTCTTATAAGAACTACTAGGGTAATCCACTCAGATTTTTTTGTTGAAGGGAAACTGAACCTACTACCATATATGCTAGGCCGCAAATAATAATGTCAAAAAGCACGCTGCATTTTATTTATTCGGTTATTTCTTGAGAAAAAAACGTACATATATATATATATATGTGTGTGTTAGTTGTCCTATTTAGTATGTATAACCTTATCATCGTGTCAAACCATTGCCGTCTCGACCGGTACCATCTTGCAATCTTGTCACCTCGTTTAATATTCCATTGTCCAACTGTCAATGTCAAACCGACCTGATACATATCCAGCATTCGTCAACATTACTACAAATCGTTCTCTTTCCTAATGTCCGCCGCTCCCCATCGTTGTCGCCTCTTTTCTCTATGAGAAAACTGCTCACTACATCGATGTAGCTCCATAGTTAGTTTCGCTTGTAGACTACAACAGCGTTCCTTGGCAACGATTGTCCCCACGTAGAAAAATGAATAGAACGAATGCCAATATGTGTCGTCAGATTGGGAACAACGGAATTCTCTTCTCTATCGAGAGAAACAAGCGGAGGCTCTGCCATTCGTTCTCCAGTAAGTCATGCTATACCTAAGTTAGGTTGTCCTTCAAATACGAATCGACTTCATATCCGCCATCGTCGGTAACAGAGAGAGAGAGAGAGAGAGAGAGGGGGGGAGAAAGTGATTCATCGGCTTAGATGAGCAACGGAACGATAGCAGCCCGCCGAAAAGGTCTCCCTATTTTCACCGAGGCCGCGCGTATTTGTTGAGTTTCGACACTATCCGGCACAAGCTCCCGACCCGCCGCAACTTTCGAGTTCCTGGTTGCCCTAATGTTGCCAAGAAGTCTCCCCCACACCGCTCATTTCCCTTCTTTCATACGAAGCTGTTAAACCTACCATCTTGCTTTGCTGTGCACATAAAGAGGGATAGAAGCTTGATTGGCTAGAGAAGCAATAAACAGGGGATTCAGACTAAACTACACGAAGGCTGTCAGACTTGGCCGCTAGCAGTGTACGATCAAGGGGAATGCTGGAACGGATTCAAGTGGGACGGGCGCTTGCGGCCGCTACTACCGTTAACCAAGCACACATTCTGCTTGCACGCCCGCGTTAGATTTTTGCTGCTAAAAGGTGCTATGGGAGACGCATACCAATGGCTACTCAAACGTCTCACCTAAAAGAGGCTTTAGAAAAGCGGACCAGCACCCCTCCCTAAGTCTCGCCTGTATCGAAAACGGAATAGTAGACTGGAAGGGGAGGGGGATGGGGTAGATTCGAGCACAGCGCGGGATGAGAAACTATGGACATTGCAGGCTGTAGGGAAATAGGGTAGAATATAATAGAACTGGGGAGGTTTGGAAGGATACGACAGCGGCGCAAGATGCCAGCCGTTACCATCGTCCATCAGCCGATCCCAAAGCTAGCTCTATATCCTGGTAGCGCCATTATCCTTAGGTTGACCCCCGAGGGAATGGACGCCGGTAGATGGCATGTTTCAAGTTGCCACTGCTGCTTACACACACGAACATACGCACAAATATACAGCTCCGCATATCTTGGGAAGTATCGACGGATGGCAACGAGATCTAAACGATCAACGAGACATCTACGGGAGTCAGGCAGTTTCAACAGGTAACCGACCGACTCATGCACTGATTACAAACGTCAACAGCCAGCATTTGAGCTGCTAGGTAAGAAATACAGAAATGCGATGAGGAGTAAAGAAGTAGAAGAGGCTGAGGGGAGAAATCCACGAGGGCTCATCAGGGGCGCATAGTGTAGTCGAGCGAAGAAATAACTACCATATATATATGGTAGGATATAGCGCAGCATCGAAAAATCGTCCGAATCGACAGCTTGGTGGCATTTCCGAGATGCTGATTTGTTTGAACGAAACATATTATTCTTCGGATGATATTTTTCTTGTAGTTGATGTCGTCCTTCTGATCTGTTTTGTACGTAGAGTGATCCTGACAGAAGTCTATACCTGTACGATATATACACAAAACAATCGAATAGATATACAGACTAGCGTTTATAGAAACGTACGTCAACTGCGTTGTGTGTCGTATTCATTTCGCAAGCGGTTCCGCCACGAATAAATGCGGCACTTTTTAAACAAATAACAGCGGGCTTACCCTAACTGTGATTTATATACATCGCATATTCAACTGGGGACAAATGTTGTACTTAGAGGAACAACACAGTATTTATCATGTAACCATAGGAGTTGATTCTCACGTGTATTGAAGATAATATTTGATTAAAATTGTAGAAATGTAAAAAAAAAAAAATATATATATATATATAATATATATATATATATATATATATCGAGTTAAATTCGGTAGGTATGCATTTGGTCACGTGGTTCGAGAAAGCAATTCCGTTTCTCATATCTCATCGTTCCTACTTCTACAAGCACATATAAAAACACACACACACTATACACACACATACAAACACCACACACACACACACACACTGAAACACACATTCACACAGAGCAAGCCATATGCATCAGCCATTTTCGTCGAGTGTGATGATAATGAATTCTGGTTAAATGGGGCCAGAAATGACTCAAACCTAGTACATTGAATGCAAGAGCTTTTAAATAGTGACGTAACAGTGATCTTGTTCTCGGCACCCCCTGATCTGTTATCTCGCCATGGCAATCCGGTATTCAGAGCCAAACCAGACTTGCCAAACCCTGAGCTCAGAAATCCGCCATCTGATTTGACCCTTGTGAGATCCTCGGACTCGATAGCCAGATCGGGCTTCGACAAGTTCCACCTTGCTGTCAACATCGATTTGTGAGAAATGCCTTTTTTTATGCGGCAGATCCAATGAAGATGTGATATTATAATGAGGGAGGCACAAAAAATCGTTATCGGGAAAAAAAAACAAAAAACTCATCAATCATACAATGAGGTTGGGACAGCCATACCCTTGGTACAGTACGAAATAGGTGTTTCATAATAGTTTATTGGCGTAAATGGCTTTTCCAGATATTGAATTTTAGCTTATTGTTTCTAAGTGCGCCGTTCAACTGAACCTCAATAGTATGGGTACAGATAACACTACTATGTTTTACTATACAAAAGCTATGGAGCTGCATGGATGCCTAACGCGGCTTTATTTCTATCGATTACTAATTACATTTGGACGTACTGCGTAACAGCAGACCCGCTCGCTCCCCAACTGACCCACATCATTTACAGCTTCTGTAACATGTTATGTATGTCCTGCTTAATCCGATAGCACTCCCTTCGGACGGCATGTTGTACAGTCGATGCGACAAGCTGAACCATATGATTAGCCTATACAATTTAAGTGTGATCTCCTTTATTCTTTCAGGCCTCGGATCCGTTATTGTACCGCTTGGCCGTTAAGTTCATTGAGGCGTAATTTATATTACTAATTATTTATATAACTAATTTGACTGTCGAAACGATATCGGACGAATATATTTTTAAAGAAAATTTAGATTAAAAATTAGAAAAATATCGGCGGCTCTATAAGCTGTATCTTAATCTATAATGTAGGCGTATAAAATGCTACGTTTATACAAACACGACGGATAACAGTCATTTAGATTTAATCAGCTCTGACTCAAATGCGTCCCGTTTAGCTGGTCAACCAGCTAAGAAATGATTTGACAAAGTTGTGTTTAAAATAATATATCATTTATCTAACACTTGATGTAAAGTAGTCCTAATAACGTGAGTCAAAGAGTCACCAAAAACACATCTGCCAATAACGAGACATACTATTAGTACTTACTCAGCTCTGACTGCGATGGGTATCTTCTATAGTAAAATTGATGTGTATGTCGGTACGGATCCAAAAGATCCCTGGGGTTATCCTAACCCATATCGTAACCTATAATGCGAGGTTATTACTTATATTCAGTAAGGATTACGTTGTTCAAATTTTGTTCAATCGCACAGAATAATGAGAAAGTTCTAGTAAGCTAACTAACCCCAAACAAAATCCTGGCTCTCCAATGTAATACCTACAGCACTCGAAACTTTACCAATCACGGCGCAGATATGACGAACTATAAGCGGTCAGGCTAGATGGTAGGTAGAAGGCGACAATCCTAATGTCGAGCTAATGGAGCTTGGATATATCTGGATGCCTTTTCTCCAGCGCTTTCAACCTGCATCATGCGAACCCTCTTTGTTTGTCCTATTTAGTAGAAACCACTACCACTAGTATTGCGTTAACCACTTCAGAAGTTCAGTTCTCGAATGTGTATCATCATCTTCAAGGGATAAACGGGAACCAAGTACGGGTAGTCGTACTGTCGCACTAGTGTCATTTATCCAACATTAGACATCCTATAACAAGATACACAGAGAAAGAAAGGAAAAAATGGCGTGTAAACACCGGCCAGTGACAAGGTTTCGCTCGGCCTCGTAAAGGGACCTGTGAACGCCTTGAGGAGTAGGCCGCAACATTAGACCATATTTCCCCATGAGAATAAGCACCAACTGACACAGCCACTACGGCTGCTTCAAACCAATAGATCGCCCGTCTGAATAATTGTGCGATTTCAACAACAAATGTGTTCGTGGTATAGTGAAGTGTAATTCGTATAGCGAAGGACAGTTGCCAGCTTTGCGTGAGCCTAGATCCTACTTTACAACCTTACTTTATATAGGCACGC